AGCAGCCTGGCATTGGGCATTGAGTGCAGCAACGTGATAAGTCACTGGGCTGGGATCTTCCAGGCAAATCTTCCTCGGGTATCAGTTCAGGGGTCATCGCACGGGCTGACCGGTGGGCTCCAAGTGGGGCGGCGGCTGCCTTCCCCCCAAGGTGGGGGGAACATGCTCCTATTGGTTTGGTTGCCCAATTCTGACCAATAAATGAGTTCTCAAACTGTGCCTTGATGTCGGTGTGAAAGTGTGTCAGTGGCTGCCTTCCCCCCGAGGCCTGGGGGAGCTGGGGAGCAGGGAGGGTCCCTTAGTGTGGACTCTGGGCAAAGACCAGAGCAGGAGCTGTATGGCTAGACTGTGCCCCTGGTTCTGGGCTGGGGCTGACCCTCCTTGTGGCCTCTTGGCATGAGCCTCTAAAAGCCAGTCAGGCTCTGCAGTGCAGTGTTCCATCCTGTTGGACGCCTAGGGAAACTGAGGCATGGGCAGCCCGATTCTCCACTGCCCTGCGCTGAGTGCTCACTGCCAGCAGGGCAAAGGGGATGTGAAAGGCTGCCATCTTGCTCTGCTACCCTGTGTCTACAACAGGGGGATGGTGAATTGGAGCCGGAGAGGTTAAGGCCCATTGTGATAGCAGGGTAAGGTGCCTCAGCTCCTGGTGGCCATCTTGAGACAGCTAGGTGCTGCAGGAAGCCTGCCAGGAACCCAGCCCCTCTGAGCACTGGCCCCAGGTATCCCGGGATGGAGACATCCCGGGGCCAGGCCCTCTTGAAAGTGCTGCTCTAAGACTTGTTACAAGGGCTCTCAGCGGCAGAAGGGAACCCAGGAGTCCTGCGTGGCATTCCCATGTTCCAAACAACTGCTCCTTTGAGTTGGCAGCTGCTGGATGTTAAGGAGTGAGTAGGCAGTGCGTAGCCACATCCTTTGGACAGAATTGATTCATCTTCAGCCTCTGGCCAAGTGTCTCAGGCTCTCCAGTGCAGCCAGCTCCAGAGGGTGGTGGAGGCAGAAGCCCCAGCGATTCCCCAACGTGCTCAGTCCTACTGTGACACTCCGCTGGTTTCAGACCCTTCCTCCAGCCCACGGCCAAATGATGCGTGTTCTGGTGCCCTCGGAACTCCAGCATCCCAGCTCCGGGGCTCCCTCCTGTCATCTCATTCACAGTGGCTGCCGTGGAGGGCAGCTACACCCCTGTGTGTGTCTGTGGCATCTCTTTCAGCCCTCTGGTTCTCGGGGTGTGTCTAACCTGGGGGGCAGAAGTGTGCTTTCACCACCGGGGAGCTAACACAGGGTGACGTCCTAGTGCGGACAGGGCCTGGTAGTTTCCACACCTGTTGGCTTCCCCCTTGACATAACAACCACAACAGGTGTGAAAATGACATCTATCCTGTCTACACTAGGGTGTTACCACGGCCTAGCTCACCTTGCTTCTTAGCCAAGCCAGGGCTTTAGATTGAAATTTGCCTGGGCTGTGCTGGACTGGGATTAGCTGGAAGTTAGGTGTTGCCAGGGGCTGGGAGATGGGGCGGGGGGAGATGTTGCTACAATTGAAAAACTCCCCTTTTCGAGGCCTGACTTAGACACTGCTGGTATAACAAGTGGATGTGGGGAGTGGGGGAGAATGGTTCTTAAGGGACACTGTCCAAGGGGCTTCTCGGGGGGGACGGTGGGGGAGCAGAGAGCTCTGGAGGAAAGGAGCGGCCCTTTCCTGGTGACAAAGAGCAAGCAGTGGAGACTGTCTCGGGAACCAAGCTCTGGATGTCCTCCAGGAGGTGGGGAGCACCTGGGCCTCCGCAGCCCAGCTCTCTGCCTTGCCATAGGGCAGCAGTGCGCCCCTGGCACCGGCTCTTGGCAGAGACTCCCCAGCCCCGGGGCGTTTTCCAGCTGAGCTGGGCGTCTGGATGCCATTAGTCACTAGAAGCAGACTGCCCGGCTCCGATACGAAGCTGCTGGGAGGGACCGTCAGTTGCTTCCTTCTTCCCCAGTGATCTCCATGTAATAGAACGACTCGCCCAGGTCAGGTGAGCGTGTCTGCTTTGGGGAACCACCTGCTCTCACCTGCATGCTGGCACTGCCTCCACTTCAGCTGCCAGCGCAGCAGTGGCACTGCCAGGAGAATTCTGCACAGCTCCCAGATGGCTCTGACACAGCCGGATCCTCTTGGCCTTTCTTTTAAAGGCCGGGAGTGGGGAGGGAGGTGCTTTTGTTCTGAGAGGTCCTTCCCGTGACCTCGAACAGGAAAACATCCCTGGTAGCATTTTGGGGGGCAGTGGGAGGGGGGGGAAAGCTCACACAGCTGGAGTCCTGAGTGATATTGCCAGGGCACTGCTGGGAGGAAGCTCACGCCGTGGGGAGGATCTGTCATTGCGAGGGCCCTGCTCGGAGGAAGCTCACACTGGGGGGTGGGGGAGGAGTAGAAACTGTCACTGTGAGGGCACTGCAGGATGGGCTCCCCCCTTCCTGTCAGAGGCTGCTGAGAAATGGAGGCGCCCCTGGGTAGGGGTCCCCGGATGCACTGGCCCTGTGGGGCGGGAGCAGTCAGGCTGGTGGGGGCTCCACCTCACGGGCTCTGGAGCCTTCACAAGAGCTTAAGCATGCCCCCTTGTGGCCACAGATGACTGGAGCCCAATGCCAGAGTGGCGAGGCCTTTCCTAGGCGGGGTTGGGTGGGTTTGTGCCCTCTGCTTTGTGCCCCATCAGCCTGGCCTAGTGGCAAAAGTGACCCGGGGCCGGGGAGAGGCAGGTAGCCAGGGGGAGGATGCAGGATCTGAGCAGGCCCTAGTCCGCATCCCACAGCCCTGTGTGGAGTGGGGAGCTGTCTGGGAGACTGGTCCTTGCCACTCATGTCTGGTGGAAGCCAGAGGAGGCGGTTAATGGCTCCCTTAGAGAGGCAGGGCCAGATTAATGCAGGGGCTTTAGGGGCTGCAGCCCAGAGCCTCGGGCTAAGGGGGGCCCCACAACAGGACCGCCCACAGGGGGAGCAAAGGGGACAATTGCCAGGGGCCCTGGCCGCTGCCGGCAGCGCAGCAGGGCTAAGGGAGGCTTCCTGCCTGCCCTTGCTCCGCACCACTCCTGGAAACGGCCGGCACGTCCCTGGGGGCGGGGGTGTGTGTGTCTCGGCACGCTGCCCCCACCCTGAGTGCCGAGCCCACAGCTCCCATTAGCCAGGAACTGCGGCTAATGGGAGCTGCGGGGGCAGTGCCTGTGGGCAGCGACACGCCACAGAGACCTCCCCTGACCCCCCACTCCTAGCAGCCACTGCCAGAGGTGTGCCAGTCAGTTTCAGGAGCCGCCCAAGGTAAGGGCCGATCCCCCGACCCCCTTATGCACCTCCTCCCCCTGCCGCAGCCCAGCGCCCGCACCCCCTCCCGCACCCAAACTCCCTCCCAGAGCCTGAACCCCCTCGTGCACCCAAACTCCCTCCCGGAGCCCGAACCTCCTTGGACAGGGGCCCCACAAAATCTAATAGCCTGGAGCCCACAAGAGAGTTAATCCGGCCCTGGACAGAGGTGCTGACTGCTGGGGTCAGGGGATTCTGGAGCCTGACCCCTGCCATGAGACCGGGATACTCGCCTTCCAAACAGTGAGACAGGCGCCATGGTCTTCAGTTCTGCGGCTCTCGAAGGGCCCCAAAGCCACTTGCCCCGGGTGGGCAGAACTCTCCTCCTGAAGCCCTCAACCACGGTCAGCCCCGGCGCCCCGGGGTGTGCCAAGGGGACGAAGGACCTGGGTGCAGACACCGGTGGGGCTGTGTGCCCCTCTAGCCAGAGGGGGACAGAGTGGCAGGCCAGGGGCACCGTGGCCGGCTGCATGTGGAGGGGACTCACGCCAGCAACGCTCTGGCGGGCATGGCCTGTGGAACGGAGCTGAAGCTGGCTCATAGCTTCCCCCCACCCACACCCACACGCGGGGATGGCAAAGGCCTCCCGGGGGGGGGGTCAGCTGTGCCCTATCCAGGGGCAGCGAGGACGCAGGCTGCTGGGTTACTCCTTCCCCTGGCTTCAGGCCCAGCCAGCTACTGGGTGCACCCCCAGGGGCCTGGCCTGGAGGGGAGGATGAGCAGCGATTCAGAAGGGAAGGGATGGGGGGGTCTCTGTATGATGCTGGCACCCAGCCCCCCGTCAGGATCAGGCCCCCAGGTGGCCATGACCCTGCCCCAATGAGCTCCTGGTCCAGCCCGGTCTCTCTGGGTCGCAGAGACTCGGCAGGGTGCATGGCTGGGCTCTTAGCCTGGTCCACCCCCTGTGTCCCCAGTCCGGTCCGGCGGGCGGCTCTTGCTCCAGGCCCTAGTTTCCGCTCGGCTCTGTGGGTAGGTGTTTCCTCCCCTCTGCGGTTGACTCAGCCTTAGGTCTCCTGCTGAGTAGCTTTGCAAACACAGCAGGGGTGGGGGTGACGGAAGAGAGCAAACTTCTGCTCCGCCAGAGGAGGCTCAGGGCCCCTGGAGAGGTGCCTGCAAGGACCTCGCTCACCTGGCCGCCTCCTCTCCCCTCCAGCAGAGGCGCCCACCTGGACAGGTAACGCCGCTTCCTGCGCTCTCCACCTGTTGCCAAGATTGGAGGGGTTTGGGGGGGCGCAAGGAGCCTGATCCTCCAGGGGTACGATGCAGCAACCCCCTCCTGCATGCCCTGCAGGCCTTGTACCTTCCCTGCAGAGGGGGAACCCCTGGTCCCCCTGGGGTGGCTGGTCGGTATGGGGAGGCAGTGCTTTGAGCTGACCTCACCGTGCCAGATATTTCCTCTCCTGGGTCCTGTTCAGACACGAATGCCTGGCTGGTCTCTTGGGAAATCTGTGGGGTGTGTGTAGGGGGGAGCTGGCTCCAGGGACAGCCCCGCTGCTCTGCAACATGGCAGGGGTTCCCACCCCATCTTCCTCCTTTTTGCCTGGAGCACTGGCCGTGCCACTGCCAGGGGCCAGGTTACCTGGAGCCCCAGCACCTTGGGCTGGTCAGCAGGAGGTGTGACGCTCTCCCGAGGTGCGGATCCATAGTCACTGGGGGGTGGGAGCGCTTACTGGGCCCAAACACTCCACTTCTGTGGGGACTGGATTTGTGCGGGAGTCGGCGTAGCTGCCATCTGTTGGTGCTGTCTGGCTGGGATTGGAAACCACGGTCCCACTCCTGCTATGGCGAGTGGTCAGGGTGGAAAACAAAGACCCAGAGAACTGGATGGAAAGCAGGGATGTGCCTATCTCTGCGCACCTAGTGGTAGTGGGTGCTGTGAAACAGCTGCCGCATTTCACCCCAGAGGTGGCCGCATTGCAGTGCTGATGCACAGACAGAGCCTGGTGTAGGGCCCAGAGTGGTTCAAAGCCTGGGAAGCGCTTTGGGTGCGGTTTGTATTTCAGCTCGTGGGGCAGCGCTCGGGAGGGATGGGAGCAGGTTTGCATGGCACTGGGGGGGGGGGGCGTGCGTTGGGTTTGCCTAGGGTGTCTGTGCGTGGCGCCGGAGCCAAGGGCGTGAGTGTACCTGTGTGCTGCTGGAAAGCCGGCGCTCCCTGGTTCAGCCGGTTTTATTTGGGGCACTAGACAGAGTTGCTTTCATAAACAAACAGGGCTGGCTTCCCCACCCCCAGACCCGCAGTGTGTGTGTGCCGCCCACCGGTGTCCCAGCCGGGCACGGCAGCGGAACCGCAGTGAGCGCATCTCTAGCGGGACGGTCAGACCTCAGCCTCTATTTTGATTCCTGGTGCGGCGGGCGGCCTCTCTGGAGGAGAGACGCGTGGGCTTCGTTTGCAGCAGGCAGTAAACAGGATGCTGCCTGTGGTGGAGCCCGGCTTGCAGCCCACGGAGGCAGAGAGCAGCGTGGAATGAACAGGACAGCGGGAACCACCTCCAGAAGGTGCTCCCAGGTGCCCTGGGCCTCCCCAGCTCCGGCCCCAACTGCTTCATTCGCTGCTGAAATGCAGCCACCTCTGGGGTGGGGGAGCAGGGCATGCTGACCCATGCCTCCCCATCCTCTTTAGATGTGCCATGAAATCCCGGCCGTCCGGAGAGGGCAGGCAAGGCCTTGGTTTGTTCAGTCTCTTCCCAGAGACCTCAACTTCTCTGTCTGGGCAGGGCTGAGCCAGCCCCGTGGGCATCCTCTCCCGCAGTGGGCTAGGCCAGGAGTCAGCCACGCTTCTCCTCTGCAGTTGCCTTTGCTTTCACCTGTCCCAGCGCGTCTGACATGCCAGGATTTCTATGCAGGGGGCACCCACCCTCTCCCCTGACTTCTGTCTCGGACGGCAGCTCCCTGGGGCGCCACATAACCCGGAATCCTTTGGGCCCGGGGCATCCACCGGCAGGGAGGAGGGGCAGAGCGAGGGGCGAGGGGTAGCGGAAGGGGACAGGGAGTGGGTGCTTGTGCGTCTGGGGCCAGGGGTCATGCGAGGGGAGGCCAGGGGCTGCGTGCTGTGAGCAGGGCCTGTATGTGTTGAGGGGATGTGGAGACGGGCCCTGTTCTGTGGGGGGCTCCGTGGACCATTCCCCGGGGGAGCAGCCCAGCCCCGAGGCTCGTGGGGGACGGACAACCTGGGTAGAGCTGAGGGGAGACTCCCCACTGGGAGATGCCCATGGAGCCCAGGGCCCGCAGCCCTCCCTGGGGCTCATCCCGGGGGCAGCGCGGGCACCAGGTCCCAACACTGTTGCTTGGAGACGGGGCAGTGACGGGTTGTGGCTTGAGGCCTCCAAAATCTGCTGCTTCTAATGCCCCCCACCCCCCCGGGGGCTGGGAGGGACTCCAGGGGCTGGCTAGCCCTGGAGGGCAGGGGCGCACGGCAGGGGAATCAAAGCCAGTCTCTGCCCTGGAGCTGGGGGGATATGACTCTCTGAGAGGGAGGCCTCAGGTCTGGCCATGGGGGACCCCCGGCCTGGCAGCGGGGCTGGAGGGGGTGTTGGGCCTCTCCCCTGCCCTGCTCCTGCCCCACCACTGGAGGGAGGGTGGAGCTGGCACGCCCGCTTCCCGCTGCCATCCAGCCCTGGCCTGCAGGGGGTGGGGGTGGCAGGCTGGGACCTGCTGCTGGCTTCCTGCTTTCCTTGTCCACCCCCACGCAAGTGGGGGCATGGGGGCAGGGAGGACACTGGCCGTGGGCCGCATGGACCCGCTGGCAATGGTGCGGCTGCCCAGTGGTCCCTGCTCCCCACCCCCGTGTGGGCCACACAGAGCTCCTGGGGGAAATGCCAGCTCCCCAGTCCTGCCCTCTCCAGGTGAACCAGCCCAGGCTGCACCTCCCTGCCTGGCACTGGGCCCTGGGCTGCTCTCCTGGGACAGTGGAAGGCAAATCCCGCACTGGATTCCTGGTTTGGACTGGATTCCTGCCCTGCTCCTCCCTCCCTACGGGCTCAGTGCCCGACCCTCACGGGCCAGAGGAGGGGGAGCTGTCCTTGCCCAGAGTAAGTTGTCCGGGGGCTCGCTGTGGTGCTGGCATTGGTGCATTTCAGTGCCCTGGCGGTGCCACGGGCCACCCGTCCCCATGCGGGCCTGGCGCTCCCTGCGTGACAAGGGTTGCTCCTCTGAATCTGCAAATGTTTTCCTTCTGGGAGGGGTGCTGCATTGGTCCTAATCTCCCTCCCCCGCTGGCTGCCTTGTTAAATCCCGGCCTGCTCGGGACCGGGGATAGTACAGAGCCCAGTCTGACTGGTGCAACCCCCCAGAGTGGGCACTGCCAGCCTGCCATGGGCCTCACGCTGCCTGCCCACAACTGGCCTCCACCTCCACTCTGGGGTCCAGGGTTACACTGCCTGTCCCACTGCAGCCAGCCGGGCCTCGCTGCCCCAACCCTAGACGCCAACGCTGATTGGCAGCTCCCATCAGCCAGCTGGAGTCCTCGGAGCAAGCCACCCCTCTGATTGGCCCCCGGGCCGGCTCCCGCTCTGCTTAGCTTTGCCCCACCAGCTGCCAGAGAGGCCATTCTCGGTGCCCCTCGATTAGCAGATTTTCTCTGGGGGCTGCAGCTCCAAGCTGTTCCCAGCACAGCTAATCCGCCCTCACGGCGATCTCTGACAGAGAGGGGAAGGGGCACGCAACAAGTGGGGGATGGAGCTGGGCAAAAAACCCGGGGTTTCTGGCTCCAAGCCCCGTGCTCAGTCCACTAGGCCATGCGGGGTGAACAGAGGACGGGCCGCTGGCAAGGGCAAACTCGAAGCCTGGTTCTCTTGCAGCCCCTTTCCTGCAATCTTGTTTCCTCATCGCTCCGCTCCATGGCACCCAGCAGACTGGGCGATGCCCCTTCGCCCCCACGGGCTGCTTCTGTTGCAACCGCCCTCTATCCTGTCATGTCAGGCTCTTTCTCAATGCAAATTGCAGGGACAGGTCTGTGCCGCTCGCAGGCTGTGTGGCAAGAGCCAAGCGCCTCTGCAGCCCAGGAGATAGCGTCTCTCTGCCTGCTAGGCCAAAGTAAGGGCTTGGTGCTCTGTGTGAGATGAGTTTGGGGGGGTCTCAGTCAGTCCCTGCTGGCTAGTTGGCCACATCCCAGAAACCACCATTGCACCTGGCACTGACAAGCTCCTATGTGGGTGGTCTTGGCAGAGGCGCCATGGGGACTGAATGCCCCTCTGGCCCCCCAAGGGGGAAGCCCCAGCCGAACCGTGCGCCCTTGCAACCGGGGAATGCACCAGCCCTTAAAGATACAGCGAGACACTTTAATGCTCCAGGAAAGGTTCCCCTTCCTGCTACCCCCTGGAAAAACCCGGGGATGACTGGCACTCTCCGGGCTATCACCCTGCAGGGCGCAGCCCTGACATGGGCAGAGCTGGCTCTGAGCAAACACCCTGGGCAAACACAGACGGCCGGCTGCGAGGGGGACTGGCCCAGAGGCAGGGACGGGAGCCCCTGGGTGGCGTCTGGCTTGTGGATTTAGTGGGGACCCAGGAGTGGGCTGATTGGGTCGCCTGGAGCTTGGATCTCTCACCTATGTGGCTCCAGGGTGCTACTTGGGCTGATTCTTGGGTTTACCGTTTGGGCCACATAAAACCCATGTACAAGCTGGGGCGACCCCTACTGACAGGGGTGGGAATTGCAGCCCCTTCCTCCAGGCCTGAGTCCAGCCCAGTGCGCGTCAGTGCTGTGTTGAATCCTCTCTATTGCAAATGTCCGGAGAGAGCTGTGTGAGACCGGCGCTGCGGGGACCCAGTGAGTGACCCAGGAGATCTAGGTTCTGTTCTTGGCTCTGCCACTCCTGCTCTAGGGCAAACTGTTGCCCCATTCAGTGCCTCAGTTTCCCCCCTCTGCAATAAGACCCACCGCCGGCGACGCTCTGCTAACCGATGGCTGAGGTGCATTGAGATCTTAGCCTGGAAGGGGGAGGAGAAATTCCAAACGTTTTATTATTATTCCTCCCTTCAGATCTGACTGTGGCAGCCCTCGTCCTAGCCGCAGACGGCTGGACAGTCCATCGCCGCTGGGAGACCAGGGGCTGCCAAGCTCTTGTTTTGCCAGACCCCCAAAATAGCCAGCACCTCGATCCCATTCCCGACAGCGCCTCCCGCTGGAAGAGGCAGGGGCTGGAATGGTTGCACTTTCCACCTTGGGGCCGATTCGCCCGCCCCGTTGCCTCCTGCTGGGCCGCCGGAGGAGCTGGACGGTTACGACAATCCCGGATGTCTCGTTTGCTGCAGGCAGTTGAAGTTGCTGGTTTGCTGAAGCAAGCCCTGTGTGTGGGGGTGGGGGGCAGGCGGGGGAGGCGTTGCATCAGGCAGGAAGGACTCTGTTTGCTGCTGTGAGATCTGCCCTGGAGGTGACGGTTAAGAAGCTAACAGAGGCTCTTCCATCCCCAGGAGGGGGTCATCTGCCTGCAGGGGTCAGAAGGCCAGGCCGGAAGTGCCCTTCTGCCCCCGCGGGGCCGGGCTGGTGAGCCTGGCAAAGGTCAGGGCATCCCTGGCTTCGACTGACCGCACCGTGCCCGGCAAGCCCTTGCGAGGGGAGTCCCCAGCGTCTGTGGGCTGAGCCCAGCTGGGGTGACCAGACCGCAAGTGTGAAAAATCGGGACAGCGGGTGGGGGGTAATAGGAGCCTATATAAGAAAAAGGTCCCAAAATCGGGACTGACCCTATAAAATCGGGACATCTGGTGACCCTAATCCCAGCGCTGGCGCTGCCTGGGCAACTCGTGCCTCGCTTTCCCTGCGGGGGGGCGGGGAGAGGGGTTACTGATTGGCATCGCCTGGCATGCTGCCACGAGACCATCAAGGGCTCCTACGTGGTTATCGACCTGCCGCCAGCAGCGGGCCCTGGAGACTCATTTAGTGGACGGGGGATGGGGGCCGTGTGCTGGGGGATGGGGGCCGTGTGCTGGGGCGGGGGCAAGGGAGAAGCTGCGTCTGGGCAATGCTGGGGGCAGGGACACCAGGGTCTGTACCTGAGCCAGAGGCCGCAGACACACCCTGCAGCTCCAGCCGAGCGAAAGGAGGATGGTGTTAGCCGGCTGTGGGAGTTAGCACGTGCCCACCCCAGCCACGGGTGCATGGGAGACGCGGACTGAGTGTGTCTGACCGCTGGGTTTGCCCGCTTCTGCCTCCAGGGTCCCTCAGAAGCCGAGCCCCGTTCGGGAGGTGGTGGCCGGGCCCCAGGCCCTTTCCTTCCCCGCAAGAGGGGATCTGGGGTTGTCCTCAGCTCTTCTGGTCTTGTCTCCGCAGGTGGTTGAGATGGCGCGTGACCTGCTGGCAGGCCCACGGAGTGGGGCGGACCGGAGCTGAGGGCTGCTGCCTGCTTCCCCGCCCCTGCGCTGGGCGCCCCGTGCTACCTTTGGGCCCTGGCAGAGTGGCAGAATGGCTCTAGCGGACGGCTGCCCGTCATCGCCCTGGTTCTGCGGTGGGCAGTGACGGGGTGAAGGCGCCTGGGACAGAGGGACCTCGGGGCTGGTTCCTGGACTCGCTGTGTGTCGGGAAGAGAGCCCTGCCGGGGAAGCGCTGCTCTGCCCTGGACAGTACCAGTCTGCTCCCTGGCACCATGGCCCAGGACATAGACACGGACGCACTGTTGGACCTGAGCTTCTTGACGGAGGAAGAGCAGGAGGCCATTGTGGAGGTGCTGAGTAGGGACTCGCGGCTCCGGGTGCTGGAGGAGGGACGCATCAGGTGAGCCCAGGAGACGCTGTCAGGTGCACGCCTGGTCCGCGCACGCCTCTGCCGTGGGTTAGTTCAACTGGGGCAGGCCCCCAGTGGAAGGCTTTTATTCTTTGGAGCTTAAACTGGTCCCCGGTTCACTGAACTCGAGCCAAGCCAGCGGGATGCCGAGCGGCCACCCAGCCGTTGAGCCGGATGGGTTAGCGCTGGGTCCTCGCGGCGGAAAGATGGGTTTGTACATGGAGACATAAACTTGCTTGTGTCCCTGGGGACCCCAACGCACCGGGGGTCTTTACCTTGGTGTGTCAAATAATAATACCCGAAAGCCATTTACAAAGGCCATTAGCATCGTTATCCCCCTTTGTAGAGATGGGGAAACCAAGGCACGGAGAAGGGCCCACGGCCACCCAGCAGCAGAGCCCGGAATAGCACCCAGGTCTGCTAAATCCAGGCTGGTGCTCTATCCATTAGGCCATGCTGCCTCCCAAGTCAAGGGCAATACCTCGGATTAACCTCAGATAGCTCCGCGGAGGTCAAATCTACAGCCCCCCGGTGCCGCTCAGATTTTGCACTGAGCTGGCCGCTGGCTGCAAGGACCCACCTCTCTCTGCAGGGAGGGGGGGCAGTTGTGCCCGTTTCCTCGCTGGGAGAAGGAGCCACAGATCACGGCCTATTCACTAGCATCTTCTCAGCCCCTCCGCTTGGCATCTTGGCTGCGTCCTCACGAGGCTCAAAGGTTCATTTTTAGGGTTCACCTGGACCAGCAAACGCCCGTTAAAACTGCAAGTGCCTCGTCCACGCTGGGCTCAGGGAACACGTCTTTCAAAAGACACCTTGTTCCCGTCGATGGATGCAGCCCTAGTGTAGACAGGGTTTGGCTATCTTAAGGTTTTATCCTGCTGCCTATCACCTTGGCGTCTGAGCACGTAAAATCAATGGCGTAGAAGTCCCTAGTGGATTTCATGGCAACTCTGGCTCTCCTCTCTCTACAGGGTAAAAACTCCGCTTGCGGGAGGATTGTTAGTTTGTTTTTTTAAGATTAATTTTCTGGGAGGGTTTTGTTTTGTTGTTTGGTGGTAGGGTTTTTGGGATACGGGGGTGTCAGCCGTGGGGTGCAGAGCGATCAGTGTCATGGTTTGTGGCACAGGAGGGTCAGCATTGGGGTTTGGGGTTCAGGAGCATCAGCATTTGGGTGCAGGGGATCTGTGTTGGTGTTTGGAGTCCAGGGGGTTGCCAGTGTTGGGGTACAGGGAGATCAGCATTGGGGGTTGAGGTACAGGGGGATAAGCATTGGAGTATAGGGGGATCAGCTTTGGACTGCAGGGGTGTCAGTGTCAGGGTTAAGGGCAGAGAGGGGATCAGTGTTGGGGTGCAGGGGATCTGTGTTGGGGTGCAGGGGATCAGTATTGGGGTTTGGGGTACAGGGGGATCAGCACTGAGGTACAGGGGATCAGCATTGAGGTTTGGGGTACAGGACGTGCCAGCATTGGGGTGCAGGGGTGTCAGGGTTTAGGGCAGAGAGGGGATCAGTGTTGGGGTGCAGGGGATCAGCATTGGGGTTTGAGGTACAGGAGGTGCCAGCAGTGGGGTGCAGGGGGGATCAGCACTGGGGTACGGGGGATCAGCACTGGGGTACGGGGG